TTTATTGTTTTTGTGTATCGCCAAATCAATGTATTGCTGTTTTTGTCGGGGGGCTAAACACTCAAAACTGCAATGTCCAATCGGGATTCTCGTTTTCACCAGAGATTGGGCGGTCATTCCACGAAAACAAACGAGAAAAATGAGCTTCAAAAAAAAAAGAGAGAGCACCATTCCCACATAAGACTGCGAAAGAACAAACTCCCAGATCACGTCCAGGGTCCAATCCAGATAGCTGATTCCCTGAAGCGAAATCTAGAGTCCATGAACGTTGATGTTGTTTATTATCAGATGGGTGCAACGGGCCGGCGCGGCGAGGCCGCGCCAAACACGGGGTGGGGCGCCGCGCTGGCCGCGCGCGGGCGGGGCAGTGCGCTGTGGACTGTTGCCCCGCGGGGGCTGTCCGCGCATCTATCCGCCCCCGCGCGCGACCGACTGCGGCGCGAGGGCGCGGGGGGCGCCGCGCCAACCGAGCGCGCGCGCGACGCAGACGGGCGCGCGCGCGAAGGCAACCCCGCGCGACCGCTCGACCGCGCGTCGGGCGGTCGGCGAGCGGACGAAGGCCCGCGTTCCCCTCGCGCTGAGGGGCCAGGCGCCATGCGCCTCCAAAGCGGCAGCGCGCGCCGGCTCGCTGGCCGGCAGATGGCGCGGGGGCGCCGAAGACTTCCAGCCCCCGGAGCGCTTGATTCCGCCGAGGATAGAGCCGCCGACTAAGAAACCCCACGCGTGGCCTCGGCGCGCGGCGCGCGCCGGGTAAGCCCTCGCGTTTTGACGCTGGCTTTTGAAGACGCGTCGCGGAGACCTGCAACGGCCGCCGCGTTCGCGACGCCGGCGAAACGAATGGCAACCCCGGGCGCCCTTGGCGATGCACTGCCCACATGCGTGCGCTGGGCGCAAAATGAGCGACTGGGCGCGCCGGCAGAGGCGCCGCCAGGGCGCGGGCCCCCCCCCCCATTCTTGCGCTTCGCGAGCCGAAAGCCGAATGCCGACTCGGCCGCGCCGACCGATGCCCAGGCCGCGGCGTCGAATTCTCTTCAGCTGCTCGTCGAAATAATCGAGGCCTCTGACGGGCGCCGAAGCCGAGAAGGAAGATGCGCGCCAGCGCGAACAAATGCGCGAAGCGCCAGTCCACCCAGCCTTCTGCGGCAAGGGCGAGCACGCGCTCAATGGCATCGCGCCTCGGACAAATTGGCGCGCGCCCAAGAAGACGAGCGCTTCGCGACCGCATGCTTGATTCGCTTCGCGAAAGACAACTCGACGGCCGCCGCCGAGATGCCGAGCGCGAGGGGCACCGTGCGGAGATGACACGAGCATCGGCGAATCTGCGCTCTGACCTGAGAGGCCCCAGAAGCGCGGCGAGCTCTGCCCCCGACGCGGTGGCCGCTTTTCCCGCCGAGCCCTTGGTTCTCGCGAGTTTGAATTGCAAGCGCAGTGCGCCGCGCGCGCAGCCGAGCGACCGCGCGTTTGAACCCTGCGCCGCGCTGGCGCGCGGTCTCCCGCGCCGTGGCAGATGGGGCCCCGCGCGACGCTGAGGCCGCCAGTGCCGCGCGGGGGGCCGCGCCCGGGAGCGCGGGCTCCTGTGCCGACTGCGGGGCTTCGCCGAATCTCAACGCAATCGATCGCTCGGCACGGCGCGCTGCCCCCTTTCAGCGGCGTGTCTTTGCTTGCGCGCGCATGCCGCAACTTTGCGGAGGTGGAGCTGGGCGCCGAGTCACTGCCGTTGTCGTCGATCAAAGAGGAATCGACCGCGACTGCCTCGGCGCTTGCGCTTGCCCGAGGCGGCGCGGCAGCGGGGCTGGGGCGCGCTCGCGGCTGCGCGAGCGAGCAGGCGTGGCGGGCCGGTTCTTCTCCGAAATTAACCGCGCGACTACTGGCCGATGCCGAGGTGGCTACGCGGCGAGGCCCTCCATGTCAGACGCTTCGACGTCGCGAATGTCTGCCAAGCGCTGCGCACCGGATGCAAACGCGAACTCGCAGGCACCGATGGGGCGACGCGGCTCGGCGCACGGCACCGCCGACCGCGCGCTCGCGAAGAACGCCACTTGCGACGTGATGGCGCGAAGCCAACTGGGCCGCGCTGACCTGGGGCGCGCTGGCCCACGCTTGCGCGCGCGGCACAGCGGCGCCCCTGCCGCAGCATCGCGCGTGCCCGCGCAGACGCTGGCCCGCCAGATAGCAGACGCCCGCCCGCGCTTTTGCACGCGCTGGCCCGCGCTGGCGCGACGCGCGCAGACCGCGTCGCCCGGGCCTGCGCGAGTGCGGGCGCGTGCTCCCAACGGCAGTCTTGGGCCGCGACCTCGACGGACTGGCGACGGGGAGTGCGAGCGGAGGGGCGCGAGCTGCCCGCGCGTCCCGCGCCCGCAGAGCTGCCGCGAGCTGGAAGCCTTCTCTGCTCGGTGGGTCCGCCATGTCAAGCACGCCCGGGACGCGATGCGCATGCGAAATTCACGCGCAAGAGGAATGCCGCGGCCCATATGCAATGAATTGTACTTTTTGCGATCAAGCGCGGGGGCCCGTCCTTTGCGCAGAGCCACCTCGGCGCGCGCACTGCCCGAATGCACGTGCACCATGCGCCCCCTCGGGAGCCCCGCGGAACTCGCGATGCCGATGGCCAGAAACAGCATTGCTGGCCCACCGCAATTGCCGCCCACCGCAGTCGGCTCTGCGCGCAGGCATCTGATCGCCTGCGCAGCGCCGCCGCTACGCGCGCGCGCCCCCGCTGCGCCGCACATGGGCGGACCGCCTGCGCGGGCGCGGCGGGCGCCTGCGCGGGCGCGGCGGGCGGCTCGGGCGCGCGCGCGCCTGCGGCGCAGAGTGGGCGCCTACTCCGCGTTTTGTGATCCTGCGCGAGCAAGAGTGAACACGACTCTCCCCTCCTAGCTTTGCCCCTGATGCAAAAGGACGAACGGGTCGCGCCATGGCGACCGGCGCGCGGGCTCCTGGCACGGCGTGGAGCATTCAACCTTGAACGATCGGAAGCTTCTCGATCGCCATATCCTGAGATATCTGCAGATTGTGGGCCACTGGCGGCGACCATCCTTGAGCGCTCGCGCCGGGGTCGCCGCCGCGTCGACGCGACGCGAAACGACAGTGATCTTGGAGAAGAGGACCATCCATATTCGCTCGTGGCTCACACATACTTCTGGCCAGCGTATACAAGGGCTATCTGTCGCCATGGCTAAAGACTGGGTGCTGGTAGACGTCCGCTCGCTTATGTGGATACCGCCAGTTGAAATCACCGTCCCTACAAGCGCGGATCGGAGTGATAATTTTCTTCTGAATTCGGAAAGGCCAAACTAAGGCGGAAACCTTGATGATGAGGTGGACGAAGAGGGAGCGCGCACCTTCTTTTGCATCACCGCTGTGGCGCAAAACCGCCAATCTGCACCTCCTCCCCCACCTCCTTTTCCACCCCGCTTCCTTGTTAAAAAAATCCTCCCTGTCGCGCCCCCCGAGACGGCCCCAAATAAACCACACGACGGCCTAAAAGGTCTCCCCAGAGGGCGGCCGAGGCTCCCGCGAGTGCCCCAAAAAGGGGAAATCGACTCGACATATCGAACCTTCCCCAAAACTTCGCCGCCGTTGCCGCCAGCAGGCTCCCAGGCGACCCTCGAGATGGCCCAAGTTGGTCCCAAGACGGCCCGAGAAGCGCCGAAGACGCCCAAGGATGATTCCAAGAAGACTTCGAGACGCCCCGGGGACACTAAAAACATTGATGTCGCCAAAAGGGTCAAACGATTTTGGCGGCACGGACCGCCTTTTCCGGCTGCCAGCCGCCCTGGGCGGCCCAAGAGACCACCGAGATCGCCCCGAGACAACTGAATAAAACAAACAGACGGGCCTGATATGTTTCTGCTAGGACAACCCTGCACTCCGTCAAACATCCTGAAGACCTTCCACAACCCTGTTAAACTGTCTGGGCGCGTTCCGAAACTCTGCTGCAACTCCCTGGAACCATCTTGCAGCACCACCAACCAACAGTGACAAGATATGGGCAAGCGGAGTGAGCGAAACGATGGAAAAAGCACTCCTCCCTGTCGCGCCCCCAGAAGTGTCGGTAGGGCGGGCCGGGCGCTTTGCGTGAGACTTCCTCGCCCCGTATGACCCTGAGTCTCGAAGTTTGCAAACAGCTTCACAGATGGAGGCCGGGCCGTTTTTAAAATGTGGCTCTCGCCGCAAGCGCAGTCCACGTCACTCGTGTGAAAAATTCGCAACAATTTCATGGATGGCGGGCGGTCGGTTTTCGAAACATGGCTCTTGCCCTTGCCTGAGAGCCGCGAGCAGTCGTTTTGACGTCTCCAACAACATGTTCACGGATGGAGGCCGGGTGGTTTCCAATCTGTGTCCTTCGCCGAAGCGCCGCTCACATTCGCGTGACAAACTTGCAAGTCGTTTTCAAAATGTGGCTCTCGCCTCAGCGCCGCGCGCATTCGTCTCAAACGACTGCAACCGTTGAGGGAGGAAGGGCGGGAATTTTCAAACTGTGGCTCTCGCCTTAGCGCCGCGCACATTCGTCTGATAGGCTCGCAGCGGCTTCATAGGTGGAAGGCGGGTGGCTTCCAAGCTGTGGCTCTCGCCTGAGCGCCAGTCTGCAACAGTTTAAGCGTTGAGGGCGGCTCATTGTCAAAATGCGGCTCTCGGCGTCGCGCATGTTCGTCTTGAGGATTTGTACTAGCTTCAAAGACTTATACGGTCGAAGCCCCAAGACTTGTGTTCTGGCAAAACAGACGACTGTCAGGACCCAACTGTCAGGTCGATTCGCGGCGTTGGAGTAGGGAAGAGAGGAGAGTTGTTTTATACCTTGTATGGTTGTGGGGGGGAGGAGCAGGAGCAGGAGGAGCAGGAGAGGAGGAGGAGGAGGAAGAGGAGCAGGAGCAGGACCAGGATGAGGAGGAGGAGGAGGAGGGAGAAGGAGGAGGAGGAGGAGGAGGAGGAGGAGGAGGGAAGGAGGGAAGGAGGAGGACCGCGGCCGCGGCGAGCCGCGGGCGCGCGCGGGGGCGCTCCTCGCCGGCGCCTTCCACCAGCAGGTGGCGGCGGGCCGCGGCGGCCTCCAACAACGCGGCGTGGCTCTCGAAGCGGGCGAGGGGCCTCCCGGAGGGCCGCCGGGGAGGAGCCTCCAGGAGGCCGCCATGGACGAGGAGGGGAGGCCGTGCCAAGGAGGAGGAGGAGGAGAGGGAGCAGGAGGAGAAGGAGGAGGAGGAGAAGGAGAAGAAGGAGGGAAGAGGAGGAGAGGAGGAGGAGGAGGAGGAGGAATAGGAGGAGGAAGGGGACGGGAAGGGGAGGAAAGGGGGGAGGAGGAGGGGGCGGAGTGAGGAGGTGTGAGGAGTGAAGGGGAGGACGATGAGGAGGTGGCGGAGGAGCGAGGAGGTGGAGGAGGAGAGAGGAGGAGGGAGACGAGAGGAGGAGAAGGATGAGGAGGAGAGGAGGAGGAGGAGAGGAGGAGGAGGAGGAGAGGGGAAGAGGGGAAGGGGAGGAGGAGGAGGGGGAGGAGGAGGGGGCGCAGTAGGAGAAGAGGGAGGAGACGAGGATGATGATAAGGAGAGAGGAGGAGAAGGAGATGGAGAGGAGGTGAGAGGGGGAGGAGGAGATGAGGAATAGCAGGAGGAGGAGGAGGAGAGGAGGAGGAGGAGGAGAGGGAGGGGGGGTTGAGGAAGAGGAGGAGGAGGAGGAGGGGAGAGAGGAGGAGAGGAGGAGGAGGAGGAGGAGGAGGAAGAGGAGGAGAGGAAGAGGAGGAGGAGAGAGGAGGAGTGAGGAAGAGGAGGGGGAGGAGGAAGAGGAGGAGGAGGGGAGGAGAAAGGAAGAGGAGGAAGAGGAGAAGGAGGAGGAAGGAGGAGGCATGGAGGGGGACGGGGAGTAGGCGGGGTGAGGAGGCGGCGGGCCCCTGGAGGGGGGAGGGTGGAGGGGGAGGGGGAGGAGGGTGAGAATAGGGGGGAGGAGGAGGGGGCGGAGTGAGGAGGAGTGGAGGAGTGAAGGGAGGACGAGGATGATGATGATGACGATGATGATGCTGCTGATGATGGTGATGGTGATGGTAATGGTGATGGTGTGATGATGTGATGATGATGATGATGATGATGATGATGTGATGATGATGATGATTGATGATGATGATGATGATGATGATGATTGATGAATGATGTGATGATGATGATTGATGATGATGATGATGATGATGGGGAGGGAGGAGGAGGAGGAGGAGGAGGAGGAGGAGGAGGAGGAGGAGGAGGAGGAGGAGGAGGTGGAGGAATGGAGGAGAGGAGGAGGAGGAGGAGGAGGGAGGAGGAGAGGAGGGAGGAGAGGAAGAGGAGGGGGGGTTGGGGAAGATGATGATGATGTGATGATGATGATGATGATTATGATGATGATGATGATGATGATGATGATGATGAGGATAGGAGGAGGAGGAGGAGGGAGGGAGGAGGAGGAGGAGGAGGAGGAGGAGGAGGGGGGGTGAGGAGGAGGGGGGATGCTGGAGGGGGGGGAGGGGGAGGGAGAGGGGGAGGAGGGGGAAGAGAGGAGGGAGGAGAGGGGGGGAGTGAGGAGGAGTGGAGGAGTGAAGGGGAGGACGAGGATGATGAGGAGTAGGAGGAGGAAGAGGGGGAGGAGGAGAAGAGGAGGAGGAGGAGGAGGAGGAGGAGGAGGAGGAGGAGGAGGAGGGGGGCGGGTTGAGGAAGAGGGGAGGAGGGGGGAGGAGGTGGAGGAGGAGGAGGAGGAGAGGAGTGAGAGAAGAAAGAGTAGTAGGAGTACGAGTAGGAGTAGGAGGAGTCGAGGAGTCGAGGAGTCGAGGAGTCGAGGATTCGAGGAGGAGGAGGAGGAAGAGGAGGAGGAGGAGGAAGAGGAGGAGGAGGAGGAGTCGAGGAGTCGGAGGAGTCGAGAAGTCGAGGAGTCGAGGATTCGAGGAGGAGGAGGAGGAGGAAGAGGAGGAGGAAGAGGAGGAGTCGAGGAGTCGGAGGAGTCGAGAAGTCGAGGAGTCGAGGAGTCGAAGAGGAGGAGGAGGAGGCATGGTGAGGAAGGGGAAGACGAGGAGTAGGCGGGGTTAGGAGGAGGCGGGCCGCTGGAGGGGGGAAGGTGGAGGGGGAAGGAAGGACCATGATATCCGGGCGCTGCACCTTTTTCGCACTGGGCTTTTTCGCATGGCTTCGGGCCGTAGGACGAACATAGATCGATCTGGCCCGAAAGGTGCAGCACAAAAGTGGACAGCAGAAACGTGGGGTGTAGGGTCCCTGTCGTGATTGTTCGCGATGTTTATTCTCGCGATGTCGGGGCCGCCAGGATCGGCGGCGGGCGAGGGTCTTGGGCCAGCTTCGAGCCAACTTCGGGCCATCTTGGTGGGCTCCTGGCCAGTCTGACGCCGTCGGAAGCCGTTTGGGGGGCCTTTCTGGGCCGACTTGGGGTCCTCGTGGGATGCTCCAGGGCAGTTTTAGATGCCATCTTGCGCGTCTTGGAGGCCTCTTGGGTCGTCTTTGTGCCCTCTTGGGGCCGTCCTGCGGGCCTCTCGGGCAGTGCTGAGGCCATCTTGGAGGCCTCTTGGGCGCTGCGGGGGCGATCTTGGGGGCCTCTTGGGCCGTCGTGGGTCGTCGGAAAGCCGAGAAGCGAATGCCAAAATCTTTCAAAAACCTAAGGAACATCAATGAGTTTGGCCTCTTCGGGCCCTCCTGGAGGACTTCTTGGAGGCCTCTTGGGCCGTCTTGGATGCCTCTGGGGGGCCTCTTGGGCCGTATTGGACTCTCTTGGGCAGTCTTGGAGGCCGTCTTGGACCATCTTGGGCGAACTTGGGGGCCAACATTTAATGTTGGACGGAGAAGGCCGTGCCAGACGCCGCCTGGCACGAAGCCCGCGTAACTGCCCTGTTCAAGAGAGGAGACACGGCCGAACGCGCGAATCACAGAACGGAAGCAATTCTCGCCCGCTCGGAAGAAGCTGGGACGGAACGGGGACTCTGGGGCATCCACTTCCGGTTCCGTTCGGGGCGAAGCACGACAGACGCATTGTCTATAGCTCGTCGCATCGGGCAAAATTGTGATGCTCGTGCTAGATTCGGCCAATGCGTTCGACAGCGTATCCCCGGATAGCCTCGTGCAGGCACTCGTTCGCCTCGGCGCGACGCAAGCGTTTGCCAGGCCATCTGGGGTCTTTATTCGAACCAGCATGTTGGAATCCGCGGCGTTGGGGCGACTTCGGTGTATCTCAGGGGTGCCCTTTATAGCCGTTCTTGTTTTCAATCGTCATTACAATTCTGACTCGCACTGCAAGACAGGCGTTCCAAACACGTGGGCTGATTCAAGAAAACGGGTTTCTTGCCAGTGGGCTTATGAATGCAGATGGTACTCTGGTGGTTGGAGTGCAAGACAAGTTCGTGAGCAAACTCACGCGCGGAATGCAAGCGGCTCTGTCGAAATACGGCCTCGCTTCCAATTGAGGGAACATTGGAGTCATGCCAGTTCGATGCGAGACAACCCTCGCCAAACCGAATGGACCACCAATCCCAGACAAGGAGGGCATGGTTTTGGGGGAAGGAACGGCCACAAAATAGTGTCGGCGGCTCGGCATGGCAAATGCCGACTTTGAAACGTTGTGTAAAATAGGGAGGCACGCCAGGGTAGCGTTGCGCCAGAAGGTGGCCATACGCGCGGCCATACTCGTGGCCATTCTTATTGCAACCGCGTCAACAATTCCGGCGTTATGCAACGATGCGGCGTGCAAGCATTCAGTTCAGTGCAAATCTTCCCGCAATTAGGCCAGCTGGGCAAGATCGCCCGCATGCCAGACAACCACCACGTGCAAGGACGCTGCGTGTTCCATTCAAGCTCTTTTGATCTTGCGCTGCCAGCAGCCTGGCGGAAGGGCATGCCACGCAAACATGGAATATATAAGGAATACAAGCTCGCGTGCAGAGCGGCTGGCGGCAGATAGCCGTTGCAAGCAGTATGGGGCCGAGATCTGACTGGAGCCAAGTGGCGCAATTGCAAGACATGCCAGTCCTACGGAGTGGGCTTACACTGCCTCCTTCTTCCCCCCCTCTTTCCTCCTCCTCCTCCTCCTGCTCCCCCCCTCTTGCCTCCTCCTCCCCCTCCTCTTTCCTCCTCCTCCCGCTCCCCTCTTTCCCCCTCCTCCTCCCCCTCCTCCTCCTCCCCCCCTCTTTCCTCCTCCCCCGCCGGGCCGACGCCCGGCGCATGGCATGGGGCCCGAGCCCGCGCCTGCGCTCCAGTGGCTGAATGCTTGCCTGTGCGCAGCTGCGGCTCGAGGTCGTCGTCTTCGGCTCCGCAGTGGAGGGATGCCACGTGACGCAACACTGGGTCTAAAGCAATCCTTCACCGTGGCGCTCGAAGTATTGGCGTGGTGGCTCCTCCACCCATACGCGTGGCCATTTCTTGATGTTGCAGTGATGGGCTTGGCGCACTTCTGACAGGGCTCGAGGGATGAGCCGCGGCTAGCGTTGCCCTCGCCCTCGGGCCTGGTGTGCTCTGGCGACGTATCTGCTTCTGGAGGAGATCGTGGTGTGGCTGCTGCGATGTGGATGTGGCCTCTGGCCTAGACTTTCTGCGTGGCGGTTCGCACCATTCGGCTCTTCTTCGTGGTCATGCTGGTGCAGCTGGAGAGAGCCTCCCCTGGTCTGCGCCAGGGAGGAGGGGGAGCCGAGGAGGAAGAGGAGGAGGAGGAGGAGGAGGAGAAGGGCGAGGAGGCGTCTGGAGAGAATACCTCGTGTAGCATTTTCACCACTGCTCTTTCGAGGACCTCCACAGACCACGAGTGGCCACTGCGCCGCCTTGCGCACGGTCGCCTGCTCCGTCGAAGCAGCCGCGCTGAATTTTCTCCGCCTGTGCCCTCAGTGGCCGCCCCTCCGTGGGCGGACATGCCTGACCTGACCTACTCGTTCCCCATGTTGTCTCGCTCCGTCTTCCCTCTCGTCGTCGTCATTGCCGCTTCTGCCCTGTGTTTCGCTGTTCCGCAGGAGGATCGCTGGAGGTGTGCTACAGCGGATTGTTTCATCATCTTGTCAATGCACCTCTCATGCGTATGTCTGTCACTCTCTGTCAAGATCTCACTCTCCCTCTCTCTCTCACGTTCTGCCAATGCCCTACAGGGGAACCCAGTGAGCATCGCTCCTTCGTCATATTTGGCTGAGCAGGAGCGCTCCTCAGTGCAACGTCCCGACTGGAGCGAAGCCTCCCCCCAGCACGGCGGCCATAACGTGGTGTCATTGTCGCAAATGCTAGCGAACGGAGCGTCTGTGTCGATGAGCACGCACTGCTCCCTGGGCGGCACCCCGAACTGTTCCTCTGCGAGGAGCACGTTGCGAAGGGAACACGACCGCGCCGCGCAGGAAGATGCGATCATCGTGGCAGAAGGAGGCTGACGCAAGGACAAAGATGACGACGAAGATGAGGGCGCACGGCAGATGACCAGGACTGGCCATCGCTCGGACGTCCATTCCCTGTGTTCTTGTTCGGTTTCGCGCGTGGCCTTTTCGCCACATGATCAAGGATGCTCCTCGATGGTCCTCGCCGAAGGAAAAATGCACACGTCCGAGCGATGCCAGGAGGAACACATGCGCGCGGGCAAAGGTTTTCGTCGCCGGCGCTGCTCGCACGGGCAACGGCAGGACATGCGAGGGCGCGGGGCCCCTCCCAGGCCCCGGACCTGGCCGACATCGGCGCGTCCCCGGGGAAACCAGAAGGCACCGATACCGGGGTGCCTACTGACCAGAATTTCGAAACGACTCCAGCAGTGGCGACGAAGGCCTCAAAGGAGGCTCAAGAAAACGAAAACGAGGTAAGGGCAACGGTATCGGTACCTTGTCCTCCTCTGAGATCTGACACAGATCGGCGCGCCCCCCCCCCCCGAACACCGAAGGCAACATCAATCAACACGTATCCGGCCCAGCGCCCAAATACGGCCCTGCTGTCCCCGCCTAACTATTACGACGGCGCTGGCGACAGCGACCGCGACGGCGACTGTGATGGTGACGGCGGCGGCGGCGGCGGCGGCGACGGCGACGGCGGCAACGCCGACTGGGGCGCTTCGCGCGGGCCAGCAGCGCCCGTGGAACACGGCGCCGACGCTCGTTGGGATGTCGCCGACAGGAGCAGGAGGAGAAGGAGGAGAAGGAGGAGGAGGGGGAGGGAAAGGAGGAAGAGGAGGAGGAGGAGGAGGAGGGGGAAGGGGACAAGCTAGGTGCGCTCGCGTCATATCTGACGTCCTACCCCTCCCTCCCATCCCTTACCATGGCGCGGATTTTCTCTATCCGCGGACGCGTGTCGTAGCGGACTTGTGGCTCCGCGCGCGCGTGCGTAGTGGGTGGTGGTGCGCGTGCGTGCGTGCGTGCGTGCGTGCGTGTGTGCGTGGTTGTCGTGGTGGTGGTGGTGGTGGTGGTGGTAGTGGTGGTGGTGGTGGTGGTGGTGGTGGTGATGGTGGTGGTGGTGGTGCTGGTGGTGGTGCTGGTGGTGTTGGTGTGTTGGTGTTGGTACTGGTGCTGGTGCTGGTTGTGGTTGTGGTGGTGGTGGTGGTGGTGGTGGTGGTGGTGGTGGTGGTGGTGGTGGCGGTGCGCGCGGTGGTGGCGGGCGGATGGGCGCGCGAGAAAAGGCCCGCGCTGGGGCGAGAACGCCATCCTGAACGACGGAGGCCAAACACCGATCCGAAAATGAGGCCCACGCTGCAGCGGGAGCACGATTCGGAACGATTCGGGAGCAGAAATGAGGCCGGCGCCTCAACGACAGCAACATTTTGGGAAAAAATGACGCCGGCGCCTCAGCGAGAGTCGTTTCCCGGGATTTCTCCGGAATCCTGTGTAAAAAAACAGTACGCGGAGGGTGCGCGGCCATCACCCGGACGCCATCAGGGGAAGAGGGATAATATATTCATATTGAATAACTGTGGAGGAGCAGGAGGAGGAGGGAGGAGGAGGAGGATGTAAGGCGCTGGGGCCTGGCAGAAACTTCTCCTGACCAGGTTCTTCTTTAAAAGTTGCCCACAGGAAAAGGGAGATGAACCGGCTTCGGTAGGCCCCGTAATTGATGGGACTTCATTCCGCCCCAGGGCGCTTTGGCTCCCCACGGCGCCAGCCGCAAAAAACCGTTTTACGGCGACCGTGACAGGGACGGAGGCACTCCCATCGTTGACCATGGGCGCCAATCTTATGTCAGCCAGCCCCTCCAACAATAGCAGCAAACGGTTGACTTCCAAATGGCCTCTCAACTCGCCAGCTGCCTCTCGAACCCAGCTCAAGAAAACAACTTCTCCTCAAAGTGGCTCAACATCTTGCATTTTGCGAACGCAGTTCGCCTTTATGCTGAGTGGTTCACTACTTCGCTTTGCGAACACAGTTCGACTGAGTCCGCAATCTGGTCACCCGTCGCTCTTGTCCTTGCTGAGGTCGCTGTAGCGCTTGGGACGGCCTTCTTGTTGCGCTCCTCGCATAACTTCACAGTAGGAAGGCAAGCTTGCCCTCCATGGCGTCGAGGATGAGCCCTCTGCCGATGCTATCTTTCGTCACGGGGTCTGCTCGCATGTCGCGGGTGTCACACCGCAATATGTCGGATAGCTGCCCCGTGCGAAGCTGGTCCGCTAGCCACCGCGGGTGGCCTGCCATGCTGTTTTCGGACGGCGGGCGCACGTGGTCCATGGCCAGTGCCGAAAAGACGGACGTACCGCCTGCGACCAGCTCGGCCAGCATGGCGCAGCCCCCCCCTCCCTCAGCCCTCTGATCTCGTCTGCTGAGGCGGGCCCTCGTGCCATCTCGTGTAGTGCGAAGAGCTGCGCCCGCAGACCGTCTGATGCCCCATGCGCGGCGAGCAGCTCGGAGCCGAATGCCGATCGATACGCGAGTTTGTGCGATCGGCTAAGCAGCGTCGAGCAAGTGGAATATCTGTCTACCAATGCTGCGACACTTGCCCAGACGCATGTATGCGACGCCTCGCACGTCATATCCTGTCTCCTCCTCGCGGTTGAAGGGGCCGTCGCTGCGCGCGCAGGATCCACTCCGTCGCTGGGTGGGCGATGCGCGCGTTGATCTTGTGCGAGGCCAAAACAACGCCGTCGAGCTGCATGATGCGCCTGATGAGCAGTTTGTTCCGGGCCCTCTGCAGCGCGATGATGCAGACGGCAGCAAGGCGTTACGCGAGCAGCGCGTGGGCCGCTGCCCCGAGGAGGGAGCCGAACAGGTCGGCGAGTGGACACTCGGCCGACTCGTCGGCCTTCGACTTGGAGAAGGAGGAGGAGAAGCAGGAAGAGGAGGACCAATGCAAAGCCAGCAGTCATCAACGATGTTGGCATAAACCCTCCCCCCAAGATCCCTTTTCATAGGCCCCTGCAACGGTTCATTCCCATTGAAGAAACTGCCTCGTTGGAGCACAACCGTTTGAAGACCCGGAAGCATGCCCACATATTGTTCTCAGGATTCCAGCGCCACGGATTAACTTGACTGTTGCATTTTGATGATCCTGAGGCGCACCAAAACGCCATTCTTGGGACTTCAACACCGCGAATCAACGTAACTGTTGCGCCCGCAATATCCAGAATCCGTCCAAAGTACCTTTTTGGGGAATCGATCATGGGAACCCGTGAAACTCTGGCAAATGCTATAAACGAATTTGCGCGTCGCTAGAGCGGGAACCACATGTTGAAAAGGAACCGCCCTCAATCCGTGAAACTCTTGCGAATCTTCAAAACGAGTATGCGCGGCGCTAAGGCGAGAACCACATTTTGAAAACGGGTCGCCCTCAATCCGTGAAGCTCTTGCAAATTGTTGAAACGAATATGCGCGGCGCTAAGGTGAGAGCCACAATTTGAAAACCAATCACCTTTCATTCGCGAAATTCTTGCACATGTTTAAAACGAATGTGTGCGGCACAATGGGGAGATCCACATTTTGAACACGGATCGCCCTCAATCCGTGAAGCTCTTGCAAATGTTTGGAACGAATCTGCGCGGCGCTCAGGTGAGAGCCACATTTTGAAAATCACCCACTCTCCATCCGCGAAGCTCTTGCAAATGTTAAAAACGAATGCGTGCTGCGCTAAAGCGAGAGACACATGTTGAAAACGGGCTGCCCTCAATCCGTGAAGCTCTTGCAAATGTTTAAAACGAATGTGTGCGGCGCTAAGGCGAGAGCCACATTTTGAAAACCACCTGTCCACGGGGCAGCTCACAGAAGTGAGTCCCAGGCACTGAACGAGGCCGATGAATTGCTATCCAAAATAATTAATCAATCGTTTGGCCGACCACCATGCGAAGCGACCGGCCAACCTCACTGGTTTCAGTGACGCTGAGCATTATCACATTACCCTTGCCCTAAATGCGTACCCTGAATTTGTGAAAGGGGCCGCCAAGTGTCTTGCGTGTTGGCCGCCTCTCCAGGAACAGTTTTGCCAGCTTGACGGACGAATTTGCGAGATGAAGCCCCGAGCCGACCCCCTTCCCCGTTATGAGTTTGTGTGGTGGAGCTCGGCGAGTAAATGGCGGTGCCGACGCTGCCTTCGGAGGTCGGGGGTCGAGACTTTAGGGCCCTGCAGAGAAGTGAATGAATCGCTCCGATTCTTTGCAAGGAGAGGACTTCCTGGGCCATGTTCTCTTTCTTGGGTCGAAGGACCTGAAATACGTGTGATGTGGTGCAACAGGTGTGGAGGGTTTGCCACCACCAAGGTTGGCCCGAGGCTCTCAGGCCCGTGCAGGCCTGCCAAGAAGCTCTCCGAGCTGAGGAAGCTGCGCTAAGGAGTGCTGCCAGGAGCGGGGGTTCGACTGGGACCGCCCCAGCCTCCCCCTGTGAGTAGCTTTTCCCTATCTTACCCTTGCATGCCTTCATGTGTGACTTGGGTTGCAACTGCAACGCTGGAACACGAGGAGGAGGAGGAGGAGGAGGAGTTTTTGTTCAGATGGGGGCGATCCTGAACCTCCTCTCGTCGCGGAGCAGCTCAGAAATCGTCTGCTCCGCAGTGGTCGAGGGAGGGCACAGCAGGCCCCCCCCCAACGCGGCGGAGCGGACCACCCCTGCGTGGGCCGGGCGGCCCCCCGCGCCTCCCGGGAGGTTTTCCCTGTGCCTTCCAGGAAGGCTTACGACGTTTCCTAGATGGGGTCGGGGTAGGTGGGGTCGGAGGATCGCGCCACATCGGCATCGGCGATGCACCGGCGATGCACCGGCGATGCGTCGTCGACGTGGGCGATGCATCGGCGACGTCGACGTGAAGCAAATCGGGCTCCACATCGAGCCGCGTCGGCGATGCCTCGGCGATGCCGCGCGATCCTTTGACCCGATCTACTTGGACCCCATCTGGGAGGTCTAG